TAAAAGAGAAGGGGATGGTAGAGAATATGATGTACCATCCTCAAATGAAGTCATTGATTTAATTGTTGATGATATTGGGGAGCAAAAATTTTCTCCTAATATTTTTATCCAATATCAAAGTCATGAACTGGAACACATTGGTATATATCAGCCAAGTTTAATGGCTTTATAATATCCCACATTATTCCCACATGGTGAGGAAGGTTGCACCCAAATTTTCCATATTCTATCAATGAGGAAGCGGATGGACTCAATGAAAAGAATGTAACTCAATGTAATTTTTACAGTTAGACTCCATATGAAACTGGAAGAATCAAATGCATTGCTATTGTTGGAAAGTTTTTCCAACAATACTTTGTTAATGCATTGGTTGAGGTGAGTGTTTGGATTGAAAACAACCAAATAAAGTTTTTGGTAGAACAATCAACTATAGTTGCCACAACATTAGTACCAATGTATTATGACAATATGTAAATAGGCAGGATATCCTGATCTTTTCTATACATCCTAATAGAGATGGTATCTTCACAAGAGTTTTCAAGCTCAAGCACGATTGCTGAAGGAGATTTTGGAGATTTATTATTATTATTATTATTATTCCACAGTTTTACTTTAAGCATCCTTAATTCATGTTTTTTTGGTAATTATTATTTTTCTATTGAGATTATTATTGATAATTTCTTTCATTTAGATGTAATTGCAATCGAATTCAAAAATGTGATCAACTTTATGCTCATTTGTATATCAGTTTTTCTAACTGCGGAAGATAAATTATATGATCCTTCAGGAATAGATTCATTTGTATAGTATGCAGTCACACAGTATGGAACTGTGACAATGGCTATGAGAATTTGATGTATGTGGTTGTTGATATATATGTATGTCTATGATTATGAATATGGAGATTCTAATAAATTATTTTGGGGTTTGGAACCCCTAGTACCTTAGAGGACTACTCCATAAAAGAGGGAAGAAGATACATAGAAGAGATGGAAGAAGACTTGATGTTGAGGAAGATGCCTCCTCTCTTCTAGCTCCTTCTACTTCTTCTCCTCTTCTCCTTCCTTCAGCTTCTCTTTCTTCTCTCTCTCTAAAACTAGAAAATCCTCTCTCTAAACCAGCTCTCTCAAAAGGGTAAAAGAGGTCTATTTATAGGCAATCAGAGGACGGAGAAGTTCGCGTCTGACAGGGCAAAGATCGCAGGCGGGATCTTCAAAGGTTAAGCCGCGATCTTGAAACGCAGTCGTACTGGCCTTCAGGATTAAGGAGATCCAGGGCTGACTTTGCAGTCGCGACCCGCGAGTCGCGTCCGCGATCTTCTTAGCGGTCAAAATGCACTGTGGCCATGATTCGACTGGGGAAACTTTCTGTTTCTCCTCGACTCCTTCTTCGCGAAGTTCGCGCCCTGAGCCCTCCAATTCGCAACCGCGATCCATGATCTCAGTCGTGATCTTCTCTTCTAGGCCACGATCTATAGTCTTCTGCCCCCTTGCTACACTTGTGACCTTGTTTTGTACCTAATTCGCAATTATTGTCTAACATGCCCTAAAATCACATCAAATTCAAATATGAATGAAATAGGGAGGCGATTGACGATGTTCAAGCAATTTTGCATATGAATTGGCACAAAACAAACCTCAATATGAAGGGTAAATAACACCAATTTAGGTGTTACCAAACTCTCTCACACTTAGACGTTTGCTTGTCTCCAAGCAAACCTACTCAAACCTAATGCAACATGATAGACAAATCAATGGGGAATGCACTATAGTTCTCCATTGCATAAAGAAGAGTAGACAAAGATGAATGAATGTTACTATCATCTTATTGTGAAAGCACAAACTCTCGGGTGAGGACCGTACCTACTACCATAGACTGAACATTTAAGGTGTGCTCCGGGGGATTCTCAAACAACAAAATAAGCACGGGAACTCTCGAAGGTGCTCTTTATTCTTTCTTACGATTAGGAGTTGTCGTTTACCGGTCTCCTTTTTCAACGTTGACGGGCATTGCACCAAGCTTTTGCAATTCTTTTGCAAACAAGCATCTCACCCTCATGAACAAGATCGGATGAATCATATCCTTCCCTTTCAAGGTCACATGTGGGGAAGTTGATGGGTGGATTCGTCTTAGCCCGATAACCACTTCCCAGTTTGCACTCCACATTGGGTTGCCACACATGTCGGGTACAAACAAGAGATTTGATGTCTCATGAATCGCTAAAAGGTACTTTGGACCTTGGTATACGATTCCGTGAGGTGGAATGATACTTGGGGGATGGTAAGTAGTGAGAGTCTGAGAGATGGTCAGGAAGCGGTAAAGCTATCCGATCCCCAAGCATATCCTCAAAGGGCACTCCGAATCCATGAGGATTGATTGCCTCTCACGTGAACCTCAATTTTCAAAATATTTTTTCTCTCTTTTTTAAACGCACAAATCTTTTAAAAGCTTCGAGTTCAAAAATCAAACAAAGAAAAAGAGAATCCCGCACACATGTTCTTCCTAAAATAACACATATTATCGACTCACAAAAGAGGAAGAAGATAGTAAAATTACCCACACACTCGTACTCTAATCATGCAACTATCACCTAGCGAGCATAACACATCAATCATCTAACAAATCAAAGCATATTGAGTAGGGAGTTGCAAGGAACAAGGTGTTTTGGAACTCTCAAATTAGAGATTTTTTTGGGTATATCATTCAAGGTTCCAAAACACTATCATTTGACCATTGATCACCACAACACAACACAACGCTAGCACACACTCCCATAAGTATTCATCAACATTTTTAATTCATAAACAAGGGAGGATTCTAGCGATTTTTGGTTCAACCAATCATGAAATTCATTTAAACATTCACACACATCCCCCACACTTGAGCAACACATTGTCCTTAATGTGAGAGTTTCATAGGAGAAGATCATGAAGGTTACCATAAGTCAGGTTGTGGGTCGGTGAAGGTACACAAGTGTAGGTCTTTGATTTCTTGGTGTTTTTCACTACGATAAAGCACATAAGAGATAGAAAAAAACGAATAAGAGTATAGGTACGATAGATATATAATAGGGCTAATACCACTACAACACCCGAACTATCGCGAAAATGCCACTTGTGTCCTATTGTTTCCAATATTCCATCTGTGTCCTGAACTATGATTCCGTTAGTGTTGACTTTTGTTGACCGTTAGTTTTTAACAGAAAATCTAGTCAGCACTGATGTGGCAGCTGACGTGGAATTTTTAATATTATTTTTTTCCATCTAATATTAATAAAAAAAAGAAATAATTAAAATATAAAATAAAATAAAAATCCTACCTCTTCTTCCCCTAACCTAATTGAAACCCTAATCATCACTCTCTGCCTCCCTCCCTCATCTTACGCCGCCTCCACCCTCCAAACCAAACACCTTCTTCATCGACCCCTTTCCCATTCCGCCTGCCGTCGCCCCTTCGAGACCCTGCGCTTCCGGCGATGACCTCGCCGACCCCGCGCCTCCCCAACCCCCGCCTCACCGACCTCGCCCGCCGCGCCTCGCCGACCTCGCTCCTTCCTCTTCTTCTCCAATCGCCCGAACAGAGACTGAGGCAAAGACAGAATGGACAGAGGCAGGCCCCCCGCCGCTCGCCCCATCGATTGGAGCCAGTAGCTTCGAAATCCTAGAAAGCCAGAAACACTTGAAATCCATATTGCGATTCTTCAGCGGTGACCAGTCCTACATTGGTTGTAATACAAAAACCACATTGCTTACCAAAATCGAGAAGGGGCTAGGTCGAGGAAGAAGACGACGGGGAATTCGAAATTGATGGCGCAGAGAGGAATTTGCGACAGCTTCTCAAGGAGTTTGGCGAACAACGCAGAAAAAAACCCAGATCCCGCATCTACTACCCCCACGCCCTTCAATTGAATCGAACGCGACGACCTTGTGAGTTCCCATCGGTGGTGAAAACTGAAAACAGGGAAGGGGAGAAACAGAGGAGAAGGTTGGATTTTGGTAGGAAATTATAGAAATTATGTTTTATTTTGGTTTAATAACATAATTGAATTTACATTTTTTTTTAATTTTAAATCATTTTTTTTATTTAATTTGAATTAAAAAAATATTAGGTCGATGACGTGGCACCTATGTGGCAGCCTCTTTTTTTGCCACGTCAACAAAAGTCAACTTCGCGTTGACCACCGTTTGGTCAACCGTTATCTTTAACGGTCAACGAAATTGACAGGATACAAATGACACAAAGTATCATAGTTCAGGACACAGATGGAATATTGGAAACAATAGGACACAAGTGGCATTTTCGCGATAGTTCGGGTGTTGTAGTGGTATTAGCCCTATATAATATAAGTACTAATACTACTAGTGCTAGAATATTTAAAGCACGAAAATTAAATGAAAAATAAAGCGATAACTAAACATTGTTTTAATGAAAATGTCTACTCCTACTTTTCAATGCAAAATATAATTTCTAAACGTTGAAGTTGGAAGAAAACGATCACAACTAGACATCCCAACAATCTCAGCTTTTAGGTTAGATTGTACAATCATTCATAATAGAATAATAGATGATTGTTTTTGACATATCAAGTAAACAATACATATATTGCCTCTGCGTAAACAACAGAAAAACGATGAATTGCAAACAATACAAGAATTGTAACTATTACAACCAAACAATACGAAATTAATCTCACTTCTTATATGCGGACCTTTCGACTTTCACAAATCTGTTTATGCAAGCTTATCCTATGCCCAAAAAGATTTTTCTATCACAAACGGTTAAATTGGATGGAAGGGAACTAGGGAAGCGAGTGAAAAGCACATGATTAACTGTTTGATTAGCAATGAGATTGATTACCATAATCAACCCCAGCAATACAAATCCGTAACTCGCAGGTCCCATAGAAAACTCCACAGAGCAACGAGGGAAACAATTAATTCGGGGAATCTTCCGTTAACTTGTCTTAATCCAACCGTAATTTTATTTATTACTAAAAAAATCCTCGTAAAGCTGCGGATTTCTGGACAAATAAAGAGGCAAATCGGATAAAGCAATAAATCAGGAAGAAAAAAAGAAAATCTGCACCGAAACCCGCGATTTGTCGTCGTGGCGAGTGGCGAATACGGTGGGCTCTGTGGCGGGTCGCTGCTTCCGGTACCTTCCTTAAATCAACCGCCACCCAACCCGGACCCTTTTGGTTTTGGTTTTGGTCAGAGAGCAGCCCACGTGAGAAGGAGAAGGTAAGAAGAAAACAATGCGACAGACGAGCGAGCGAGGAAGAATAGATGGGAGGAGGGAGTAGCTGCACAAATTCCTGAGTCGGATTTGCTGCTGCTTCACGGAAATGGCGACGTGCTCGTCCCAGGATCAGGTTGATAGCGCTGTTCTACATGCCAATGTTGCCGTTTCGGGCGGTGAGGGAGTCGGTAGCGGTACGAGGATCGGGGTCGACGCTGAAGGTGGAGGTGGTGGAGGAGAGGCGAAAGCCGACGTGTTCGTGAGAAACCCTAGCGATGGTCCTGGTCGCACTGCTGCTGCTGCTGCTGGCCCTCCCGTCGACGATTGCTGCCCGATCTGCTTCGGCGACTTCTCCGTCGCCTGTAAAGCCAATTGCGGCCATTGGTATTGCGGTTCGTTCCCTTCTTTCCCCCCTTTCTCGATTATGCGTGTTCTCGTCTTTCTTAGGTGCCACCTGTTGCGGAAATCGTCATTTCCATTACTAGATTGTTGCGTGGTGTGTGGAATTTTAAGTGCTTGTTGTGTCTAGCTTCATTTCCATGGCTTCCTCGATCACCTGAGTTGAAATCACGACTGAACGGTCTCGAGAAAGTGGCTTTGGGCTTTCTCTGGTCTTTCGGCAGTGATTCTGTCAAGACTTTTGTGTTTCTGGACGGGAAATGGAGCTAATGTAAAAGCCACTTCTTTTTTAACTTGCTCAGAGCCTGACTTGTGTTGTTTTAAGTTTTAACACACTAGCTGCGGCCTCTCTGTTACATTTTTGCTTTATATTTGTGATATTTTCAGTTGCAGAGTTTTCATAATTAAGGTGTGAATGTCATATCCATGGTGATATGCTGATTGTTCCTAACGCAGTTACCATCTTGGGCATCAAGTGAAGTTCTTATGTGCCATGGGAGTGTCTTTCTTTGCAGGAGGTTGCATTCTCCAGTTTTGGAACTACTCAGCAGCATCAAGACCATGCAAATGCCCAATGTGCTCGTCTAGCATCACTAAGTTGACACCAGAGGCATCATTACTCAATCAACGAGAGCAGGAAGTTAAGGATGTTTTGCGGGGTGTTGAGAGGTACAATCGCTTGTATGTTGGAGGAGCACGAGGCCTCGTTCAGGTGGCACTTCTCCCTCTGCCAAGTTATCATTATCTTATTTCTTAGTGGTAGAATGATGCCGCTCTTTGTGTCTCTGCCTCTCTTTCGGCCCTGAACGTGCTTCCTGGAACTCTGTTGATCTCAGATTAAGTGGAAGTTTATTGCAGAGTTCCTTGTCATTGTTGTATACTTGTTGTCTGCGAGATAACTAACTGCCACGGTTATGAACAGAAAGTGCGAGAATCGCCGTTATTCATCAAGCGAATTGTTCAGCGGGTGATGGATCCTGATAGACCTGAGTACTTCCTTCAGGAAGCTCGCCTCTTGGCTGTAAGTTCCTTAAACATTAGAACGCCGCCTTCTGAAATGCATTAGGAATGTGGATGATGGTAGTTGGGGTACATTGATGCTGGCCAATGTAGTTAGTGGCGCTATCCTGTGCACTTCTCTGTTAATGTGTTAAAGATCATGCAAATGCTTTTAGATGTCATTTTCACACATTGCTACAGAGTCTAGATGCATATATCTGATTAGTTTGCAGTGATTAACACATTTCCTTTCGAAGTGGATGCTTTCAAGTACTTTGTGTTCTTTAAAGTTGGTGTCAGGATCTTCTGAGAACATATACGCGGCGGCGACAGTAGTATGAGGGTAGCTTAAAGTTTAAGTTTGGAGGATGAGCTGCTGAAACTCTGTTTCTTTACCATACTTTTCAGATGATAATGAGCATTCTCTATGCATTCTCTCCCTTCGACTTTATTCCAACAGGTCAGTGGCCCTTTTCATGATTTCATTTATTATCTTTCGCACTTCCCACTTTGAATTCACTTGCTGTATGATTCTTGACATGTTTAGGCTGATATCTTTCACTTGTCTTGCCTGGCAATAAAATTCGACGGATGCTGTGGGATGCAGGTGGGGCAGGAGTGGTGAGATTGTTTGATCACGTAGCCATCATAATAGTTCTCGGCCTCAAACTGATTGGCCTTTACCATCGACGGAGGCTCCATCAGCGAGTTAGGCAAATGGCTGCCCAACCTCCAGCTGAATGACGGACATTACCGAAGCCGCTCAACAGAGGCTATGCAGCAGTTTACTCATGTATAGTTAGACTATAGTCTTCTGTTTGTTTTAACCACTTGTATACAGTCGATCGTTGCGAGAGATTGAGGGGTTGTTGCCCTTTTGGCGTGCGGCTTTCGTTGTAAATATTATATGCACATATATATCTACTAGAATGAAATTGGTACAAGTATGTATAGGTGTCAAAACATAGCCCGACCCGATTAACCTGCCCGATCAACTTGACCCGCAACCCGACCGCAATCTGAATTGATTAAAAGTCAACAACCCGTAACCCATCCGACCCGCAACCCGATTGACTCGCAACCCAACTAACCCGCAACCTGATTAACCCGAACCCGATTAATCCGAACCCGACTGACCCGCAACCCGACTAACTCGAACCCGATTGACCCGAACCTGACTAACCCGTAACTCGACCGACTCAATCCGAATTTCATCTAATCCACTTGAATAATTATAAAAATATACAATACATAGTTTTTCAAAATAAAGTTTTTTCATTCTAAACTTAAGTAAAATTATTTTTCATTTCGTATAGGAAATTTAAAAATTGTGAAACTCACTTGATATTACGTATTTTAAGAAAATTACAAAAATTGAAACATGAAGGTCACTTGAGATCATGACAATATTAATATAATATATAAATTAAAATTTTGGTTAATTTAACTATTCAATAAAATTATCAATTAAATATAAATAAAGTAAAGTAATGTATTTGGTAATTTGATGTTTTTAAATGAAGAGGGAAATTTTGGTGTATTCAAGTTTTTGGGAAGAGAAAGAAGAGGGAAATTTGGTTCTTTGAATTTTTTAGAAAAGAAACAAGTGGGAATTTTTGTGGTTTTGATATGTGGAAAGAGAAAGAAGTGGGAAAATTTGATTCTTTTGATTATGAAAGAGAAATAAGGAGGGAAACTTTTGAGTTTTCAACTTTTTGTATAAGAAAAGAAGAGGATAATTTGGTTTTTTCAAATTATGGAAGAGAAAGAGGAGGGAAAATTGAGTTTTCTAATGTATGGAAGTAGAAAGAAGGAGGGAAATTTTAGTATTTTTGTGAAAAGAAATGAGGAAACAAATTTGGTGTTTTCAATTTTTTGGTTTTTCATAATTTTAGCTTTTGAAATATGAATCTTTAACTTTTATATGGAGGGCATGACTAGTTAAAATTATTCTTATATGCTTTGAAGGCTAATATATATATGTATGTATGTAATTGTTTATGGGCTAATAAATAAATTAACCATTAGTTATAACAATTTATACTAAACTTGATAAGTAATCTTTGACGGTTCGTTGTTTAGGATATAAAGTATATGGTTTGGGTATAGGGTATAAGGTACATGTAGTTTAGGGTGTATATGGTTAGGGTATAAGATATTGATGGTTTTGACGGTTCTAAGTTTCTTATTAACATATGTTCACTTGAAGTCATTTGAAGTCTTTAACGGCAAGAGATCCCTTTTTAATTTATGTTTATGGTACGTGGTTAGGGTACAAGGTATGTGGTGTAAAGTATAAGATATATGGTTAGGGTATAACAATTAGCAAATATCACTCTTCATCTATGTTTTGAAAATCAAAGTATGAATTTCATTTTTAAATTAACTATACTAGCAAAATCACAACTCAAAGACATATGGTTAGGGTATAGGGTATAGGTTATGTGGTTAGTGTATAATGTATTGATGGTTTAGGGTATACAATCAACAACATATACTAACTCAATATTGTTGATTGAGGGTAAGGCTAAGTGTATAGGATATATGCTATTGAGTAAGTTATGATTGAAGTAACAATAATTTTACTAAATTTGATAGCTAATCTTTAATGGTTCAATTTTTAGGATAATTCGAATAATTTTACAAATAACTCGTTTGGCAACAGTTTACTGAAGTTATTTGGGCAATGAGTTATTTCGAAATAACTCCTTTTATCACTATGCTTTTGCCAAATACCACACACCAAATACCATATTTGCATGGTTATACTAAACGAGATACTTTAATCCAATTACTACTCAATTAATACTAAAATATCAAATAAACAATTAATGTTGTCTTTTGGTTGCAAATATTTATATCACCATTACTATTAGCTATAATACTCAATTATGATTAATTACATAACAAGTTTGCAAGTCATACAAATTGATTTAACATTTTGACTAGTTTTTTTCAAAAAAATAAAGTATATATATACGAGGTAGAAATAAATTGGTTAAAAAGTTGAGAAAATATTTTAAATTAGTGTAATAAAATGTGAAAGTTGGTAATGAGTAATGAGTTAAGTTACTTGATGCGCTGGCCCGAACAACCCGAAACCCGATCCGCCCGCAACCCGCCCGACCCAAAACCCGATGAACCCGCAACCCGATTTGCCCGCAACCCAATTGAACCCGAACCCGAGGAACCCGCAACCCGACTAACCCGCAACCCGTTTGAACCCGAACCCGATGAACCCGAACCCGATGAACCCGCAACCCGACTAACCCGCAACCCGTTTGAACCCGAACCCGATTGAACCCAGCCCGAACCCGCCCGATTGACACCTATACAAGTATGTAGTGAATTCTGAATAGTGATGGTTTATTGGAAAGAATCTAAACATGGTTCCTCGCTAATCTGTCATTGGTGCCTTCGCTTCTTCGTTCTTTCCTTTTTTTTCCCCATAACAGTACGATCCAATTTATTATACCATCAAAATGTCACATTCTATTAGGAAATCTGAAATAGGTCTGGTCAAACGTGTAGAACGCATATAAAACAAAGAACTGAGTAATGGAAAGATAAGAGGACCAATATAGATAAAAACCAGATCCTCGCGGGTTTCTATATACTTTGTTATGTTAACTAGGGGTGGCAGAACGGTTTTCGGTTAGCAGTTAACCGGACGGTTTCAACCAAACCGACCGGTTTTTGGCTAACCGAAAAACCGATTCTGATTGCATTGGTCGGTTGGCGGTGGTCTTGGGCAGGAATTCGGCTAGCCGACTAACCGGGGTCAGAAACCGGCGGTTAACCGGCTAACCGACCCCTTCCCTTCCCCAAAACGACCCCGCTTCAGTCCCACTAACCCTAGTCCCTAAGTGAGGACTCCTCCCAAATCCATCGCCGCTCAGACAGTCCCCTTCCCCCTTCAGCCCTCCTCCTCCAGTCCTCCCAAATCCATCGCCGCTCCAGCCCTCCACCTCGTCGCCCCGCCCACCACCGCCAAGAAGACGACAGTCAGCGCAGAGCCTCCGACGCCCTCCCACTCCCACTCCAGCTCACCAACGCCCTCTTCCTCGTCCTCTTCTTCTCCGCCGTCTACTTCCTCCTCCCCCCGCTAGAGTGACAAGATCCGCACTCAAACCCCTCTCCATGTCCTCACCTTCTCCGAAATCCTTGCCCTCCTCGCCTTCCTGCCTTCATCGCCTCCTTCGTCTAACTCCTCGGCTTCTTCGGCATCCAATTCGTCCAGTCCTTCCTCCTCCGCCCCGACGACGACGTCGATGTTGAAGGTGGATTCGCCGCCGCCTCCCCCCAATCCCTAAATTGCGCAATCCCCGCCGCCGCCACTCCTGACCTAGCCGCCGCCCAATTGAATTATTACTTCCCCAAAACGACGAGGAGGTCGTCCAATCCGTCGTCTCCGGCGCCGTACCTTCCTACTCCCTCGAATCCAAATTGGGGGACTGCAAGCGCGCTGCCGCCATCCGCCGCGAGGCCCTACAGAGGATCACCGGCCGCTCCCTCTCCGGCCTCCCCCTCGAGGGATTCGATTACGATTCAATTCTAGGTCAGTGCATAAAAGAGAGAGGAGAGAAGAAGAAGAAGTTTGTTTCTGCGTAAAAGAGAGAGGGGAGAAGAGAAAGAAGATAAGGAATGTGTGGCTACGATTTTTTTTCTGTATTTCTTTCAATTTTTTTAAATTTTTTAATCTTATCTAACAAGAGGTCGGTTTTTGGTGGTTACCGGTCGGTTAGGCAGCTAAACCGAACCAGCCTTCACATTGTCGGTTGTCCCGGTTAAACCGCACCTAAACCGAAAATCGGCCGGTCGTTTTGCGGCAAACCGGGGCTGTTGGGACGGTCGGTCTACGGTAGCGGTTGATCATGTCCCAGGATTCATGTATGGGTATAGTTACAGTACCCGAGCTATCTTGGATAGAGTAATAGATATGCACTATACTCCATCGATTCTACCCCTTGCCATCCCTACGGTGGGTCAAAATGAACAAGGTCAGTCAGGTCGAAGCCGATAAGACCAGACCCAATCAGTAGAGGCAATACGGGTATGGAGGATGTACAAAAGGCTGGAATTGATTTTGATGGAGTTGTAGACTCAGTCTATTCCCCTCTAATGACCCCCTAGCTGAAGATCGTCACTTTGGGCAGACTATGGAAGTGGGGCAAGGTTCTAAGCTTGGAATGGGGGGTCATTGAGCGTATCGATCGGAGGAAGAGGATGCATGAGACTTCTAAGATCCACCTAAGTGAGATCATAACAAGGTTACCACGATAGTAGCGGCATGTATGGTGGTTATAATCGAACTTATGATGGAGAATGGAGATAATGACTTTATCATTAAGGCCAAGCCTCCAACCATTGTGTTTCCTAAGTTCAATGGTCAAGAGGATGTATGATTGTGGTTGTATGTTGTGTTGCAGATAGGTGGTTTCGCAACCATGAGATTATAAAGGGGAGAATGGTGCATCTGTGTCCTTCTATTAAAGGTGATGCCTTACAGTGGTGGGTACCAGAGTAGTTGGCCAAACTGAGACATATCGGGGCAGTCTCTGATTATTGGTCAGTGTTCTTTAGGGCAAGGTTGCTCTCAAAAGGAGTGGGTATGACAGAACCAGGTCCATCTGGGTACCAGATCACGAAGATTAATTATTGGTAGTTTAAATGAATTTGTTGAGTTATATATTCTGTACCTGTGTACCATATTCATGAATTTTAATTATAATTATAATTTTTCTAAACTTATTTCTCTCTCTTTTCTTCCACTCCTACCCGAGATCCTTTCTTCATCCCCTTTTTGGCTGTCGGCCTAGGCAGAGTTCTTTCTCTTAAGTTGTTTTTCAAATCTCTAATTCTATTCCCATTCTACCCAAATCACTAATTATAAATTCAATTCACAATCTCATAATCCAACACAAATCACCCTAAATGTCAGGGTTTATAACAGATGTGCTCATATTTTGGTGTGTTCAAACTAAGTGGTTATCGTTGTAAAATAGAGTGGTTACAATTATAAGAATATTCATAATTAGTAGTTGAATAATTTGGTTTGGTTAATTCGGATAATTGGTTTGTTTTATTTAAAATTTTAGATTGTTTAGTTCAGGTGGTTTGGCTTGGTTTCAGAAACTCCTAACCAAGCAAACCAAATTAACCAATTAAACAATTAGTCATATATTTAATCTTCTTACTATATATTATGGTTGTTCAAAAGTTACTTCTTGCCACATAAGTATTTGAAGAATTCACAAGTTGCCAAGGTGGATAAATTTTTTGGAAACAAAAAAATTTAGTTAATGACATATTTATGTAGCTATCTCTCTCTTCTTTTATTAATTTTTTCTTTCAATCAATAATTCCTTTTTCTTTCAATCAATAATTCCTTTTTGCATTATATATACAATAATAGACTAATGTTTGTAAAGGTACATCTATAGCATTTTTTTTAAACCGAATCATGTTATTACATTTTGAAGTCAAATTTCTACTCATTTATACTAGAACTTATAAGTTATATTTTAATGAAAAATTAAAAAATACACACAAAAGTAATAATATTTCATTCGATCAAACAAATATAATGATGGAAAGAGAGAGAAAAGTTGTTTGACGATCAATAGACTTTAATAAATACTTTTCACTGTTCATTAAGAAAAAATAGGTTATTTTATCTCCACAGGTACTGTTCACAATAGAGTTTTATCTCATATACCCAATTTTATCATAATCTCTTTTTCTTCCTTTTCTGTAATATTATTCATAGATTTTTATTTCCTACAACCACTTTTACAATAAGTATAAAATTCATAAATAATTATTATTACACCACATATTATGAATCTCCTTTTCTGCAATATTATATGTGTTATTTCTCTACAACCACTTCAAATATAAGTCTAAAATTCATAAGCAATTATTATTAGACCACATTATGAAATATTTATGTAACAAAACAATAAAAGTTACATAAATTGAAAATTCGTCGATGTTACTTACTATAACTTTATTATACTAAAAAATTATGTAATAACGTTCTATAACCATTACATGAGTTTTACTTAATGATTAAGACAATACGTAAAGTTTATGGACAAATAATCATTTATGTATCAATTAAAAAAATATGTAAGTTTTCTATAATAATTTAACACTACGTAAAATTTATGTAGAAATAGTTATTTACAATGTATCACTTAGCCAAACGGATGATGTATGTTATTCGTAATTATTAAAACATCACGTGACACTTACATATGTATCTTATGTGAATAATTTTCTAAATTATTTGATTTAAACTAACTCATTAGTTTCTACCACGGCGGAGCGCGGGCTAAAAACTAGTATATTATATACACATACTTAATACATTGCATAACCACTCAAGGGTCCAACGATCCTGTATTTAGGCTCATAGAAAATAAAGCTCATTATTATCCCTATAATGTATATTTGTAGATTGTAGAGAACATATGGACACCTAATTTAGATAAAACTCATACATTATGTTAGATGAAAACTTGATAGGTAGGTAGGTCTTTTCTGCCTAAGATAATTACTAAGAAACTATGTCAATTCGCACAAACATACTAATTCATTAGCCCCATATAATTGGCATATATTTTTGTTAGGTGAATACTTCTACTGATTGTAAGATAATTGTATTAGTTGCATGTAATTTATGTTAAGAGTTAACTATTGATTGCTATGTTTTATTCATTTTATAAATTGTGAATTGATGCATTAACTAGAGATAGTTTTTTCATTTAATGATAATGTGATATTATATTGGTTGATCCAGTTAATCAATTACCAAACCAATTATAACTTTAGTTTGGTTAATTTGGTTGTTGTATTAATTTGAACAATTTAGCTATGATATTGTAATTCTTTTTTTTTTTGAAAATGATGATATTGTATTTCATAATTAATAGAATTTGGACTCAATAGGTTTATTAATGATCAAGGTAACAATTTCAAGTTTTTAACACCCCTACTTATGTTCTTTTTTTTTTCTTTCTCAAAGATCACTCGTATTAACCAGAAAACAACGGTATACAAAGAGTTACATAGCTCGAAACGGCAAAAAAACACAATTGAACCCATCAAGGAGGTTAAACAAACAAAGGGTTTTTCTTTTTCAATCAAATGACAATTTCTCTTTTGGGAAATTTTTTTTGGCAAAATTCACTTCCATAGCCATAACTTTACACTTTGTGACAAATATAGCCAAGTTTTGAAAAATACACAGAAATAGCCATTCCGTCCATTAATATAACGGAACTGTAACGACGGCTGACTGGACAAACGGTCGTCTGCGGTCGCCACCGATTTCGTCTATATGGCATGCCAGGGTGGATTTTAAATTTAATTATATTTATTAAAAAAATTTACTTTACCAAATTATTATTTATTTTCCTCTTTTCCTTTCTCCATCGGCCCCTCTCCATTTTCTCTTTTCCTCTTCCCAGAAACCCACCTTCATTCCACCCGAACTCCGCCGGCCACTCTCAATCGACGAACGGAGCAAATCAAAGCCATAGGGAGATTCTTAGAAGGAACCCAGTCCGAGCGATGCTTGACCACCATCCCTCATCGTCGCTAGCAGAGGAATCCAGAAGCAACCCACAGCAGAGGCGACCGAGCCAAAGCCAACCCCAAATCTGCAATATACTTGCTCGATTAATGTAATTATTTCTCTGATGCTGGTGGTGATTGTTCATCTGCCGCTGCACCTCATCGTCATCTTCCTCTTCGTCTTTCCAATCCCTTCAGCTGTGGACTGGGGTTTGGCAGTGGCGGCGGTGGTGGAGCAAAAACCCTAATGAATCGGCGATGTTGAAGAAGAATCACCGCCAGTAGTCCTTTTCAGCAGCCCATTCTCTGTCGCTGCTTCTTCTTCCCCATTCTCGATGCATCATCGAACCCCTTACTCCATTGAAATGGCGATAGTCGTTGAATGTGAAGGCGGTGGTTGTGGCATCGGCAATGGCAAAGGCAAAAATCCCTCTTTGCCACGATAAAAATTCCCCGCCTTCCCATTTAATCTCAACCTGGGAATCGGGATCTGGGATCGGCGGGATTTGATCTTCAGCCGCCGTTGGATTTGTGGATGACGGCCCCGTTTGAGCTTCATTGGCGGCGACGGGGGAAAGATAGAAGCTCGCTCATAAGGGAGGAAAATCAAAAATCGACTAGCCGGTTCTCATTGGGGCTCGCTCAGAAGCAGAGGGATGACATGGCGAAAAATCCGCTATCTCCACCGTGAGTTCCTCCTTGAAAAGTCCAGATCGAGAAACTGAACAACCCTAAGCGGCGGCACTGATTCTGCAACCAACCGAAGCCACCCCCAATTGAAGGTACGATATCCCAGAACCACCCTTTTAAAGCTCGATTCATCCAGAGGAGATACCGGCGGCCGCTTCCACCGAGCTTGCTGCCGAAGACGATGAAGAAAGGTCGGAGAAAATTGATTTCCAGTTTTCTGCTTCTCCTTGTATCCTTTGCCGCCGCACAATTGTTTCCACTCGACGCTGCTACTTTGCCAAAATATTGATTCGCAGATTAGGTCGGAGAAGATGATGTCGGCAAGACTTCTTCCTCACTATTTTCTTTTACCAATTTTTGTTTTTTATTTTTTCCTTTAATTGAAAACAAAGAAGGGGAATCGGTCAACTGAGTTCTTTTGTTTTTTTTTTCTTATTTTCTTTAATCTTTTTAATTTTTTTGTAATAAACAATATTTTTAATTTTTAATTTGACATGGCATGACACGTCGACTAAGAGTGGATGTGTAAGCTGACGAGGCGCCATCTCAGCTTGTTGTTGACGGACGTTAACGACATTTCTAACTCCGTCATTTTTTTTAACGAAAATGGCTATAATTGTCAAGGTAGTTTCAAATTTGTGGCTATTTCTGTGTATTTTTCAAAATTTGGCTATATTTGTCACAAAGTGTAAAGTTATGGCTATGAAAATGAATTTTGCCAAAAAAATTGCCCGAATTTTTTTTAAAGGGGCAAAACGCAAAACTGTTAAATTTGAGCGGGGAAGAAAAAGATGTAAAACGAAATTATTATAGGGAAAATTTTGAAACCCGATCGATCTTAGTTGAACTGGCTATTGCATTCTCGCTTCACTCCATTCTCAGTCTCATTCTCATTCTCATCATTCTCGCTCTCAATTCTCACTTTATACTGCCCGGCTACCTGACGCAGCAGAGGGATATGGCTCCCCCCAGCAAGAATGTACGGTCGATCTCCCAGGAAGCCTTCGACGAGCTGGTGAAAGAGAACATGGAAGACCTCGGCATGGAACCTGCCGAAGCTCTGGAAGACGCCATCCAGTCCCTCTCCATCCAAGGCGTCGATCTCTCCGGTAAGACGCTTAACACAATGTTCACTCACCCGGCTCGTTGACTCATAACTGTAAGGTGATTCGAAAGCCGGCGGCGCTTCTTTTGCTTTTGTGTGTTTATCGTTTAGGGATTGTGAAGTGCGTTCCTGGAGAGGGGAGCGTGGGAGACAATCCGGTCATAAAGTGCATCGAGAGATTGAATACTTTGAAGTCAAATCCGAGCGGTGAAATTGTGGGAAATAATTTAGACGAGATGGCTGGCTTGCTCCGGCAATTGATCGAGGAGTGCAGCGTCGAAGGATCTGGGAACGTGGCGGTGGCTGTGAGAAACGGCGGAGTGGAAACGATTACTTCCCTTTGCTCGAAGATTCCGATCAGGTCTTCCGAGCAGATTCTGGTGTTGGCGTTCGGAGCTCTGGCGCTGCTCATTCACGGTACATCATGCGTTTTACTTCGCTGTGTTCATTGTTGCATTGGATGTTGCGCTTTGGATCTGGTGTTGACGGCAGGATACTTGTGTGGTATGCAGATATTGAGGGCACTGAGAAGTTCAGATCCAGTGGCGGACCCGCAGTTCTGATTAGCCACTTAAGGGAAGGAATTCGAACTTTGGGGATCTTGAATAGTGGTTTCAGCGTTGTTGCTAGAGCGGCAACTTCCAATGAAGTTGTGAAGCAGTCATTCATGGAGTTGAAGATTGATGAGCTCATACTGCAAGTCCTCAATGAACAGAGTAAAGGGACGGTGCAGAGCTTGTACGATGCCATACGTGTTCTGCTAACTCCTGATGACAACCGTGTTGTAGCCTCCGAAGTAAGTTCTTGCCATGGGAACTCTGAATCTTTTTTGGATGTTAGAAGAGAGGATTGTGATTGAGAAGTTGAATGGACTGATTTGAAAGAGAGATCTTGAAAGTCATTTCCTTTGTACCGATTTGGCTGTAGTAGGGTGACATTGTGTTTTCAGTCACGGGTCCTCCTAGGGTTTCCTTTATGTGATTCTCATCGTTTCCATTTTCAGGTTTATGGCTATGCTCGAAGATTTGCAAAGGTTGGAATCGCAATAGCTCTTGTAGAGTCTCTACATGCAGGTCTTACCTCCCCAAGTCTAGTTTCAGCCTGCATAGCTTTGAGAGCTGTGGCTGTAAATGTAAGCTACACATTATCGGATCCTTGTTCAGATGCCAGACCTCCATTTTTGGGCAAGCTTTTGGTTTAATGAATCAGTGGTTCCCCTCTTTTTAAGTCCTGACCTTCCCTCTTCTTCTTGCCCTAAACCACCAGGATGAAATATGCAAATCCATTGCTGAGAGCGGAGGCATTGACATGATCCTAAAATGTATTGATGACAGCGGTGAACAAGGCAACAGTGATGTTGCTCGAACGTGTTGCTCTTTGTTATCCAAGGTACTATGGAAAAAGCCATTTGTTTCTGTCGCAATACAGCTCAGGCAATTGTTACCTCGCTAAAGCAACTTAGTGATTGTAATGAAAGAAAGTGACCCTAGCTTAGTCTGTCATTGCATTCCGAAGCTTTGTGCCATTTCTAAACTTGAGATCTTTAGTTGGCAGGAAGCGACTCAAATAAGGCTGCCATTGTTGAGAAGAAGGGTATGGTTAGGCTAATCCAATTATCATCAAGATTTGCTGACGACCCCTTGGTCCTACTAGAGGTAACTACTAACAAGTAGATTCTTTTGTGCTACTCAATAAATGACAAAGAGTTTCTCTCTTCTTGCTAAAAGCTTCCGCGATTGATTTTTCTTCTTCAGGTTATGTCCATCTTTACAGTTCTCTCCCTGAGATCTCCTGATAATGCTGCTCGTGCAATGGAAGCTGGGGCTGGTGACCTTGCCATTCAAGCCATGAAAAAATTTCACTCAACCCCTCTTCTGCAGAGGAATGCTTGTATGATGATCCGGAACCTCGCTGTTAGAAACCTAGAAAACCGGTAAAAGAAACGTCCCCTCTTGATGACGCACCCTTACCATCCTTACCCCTACAGTTGGTTTCATCTTCACTTTTGTTTTTTGGTTTTCAGAACTCTACTTCTTGGCCAAGGCATTGAGAAATGTATTAGAAGAGCCAGGGAGAACCATGGAAGCTGCAAGGCTGCCGCTACTGATGCTTTGAGAGATTTGGGCCTCGACAATTACAATTCATAGGCCATGAATTGCAGACACCACATGATACAGATTGCATAGCCGTGAATTGAAGCCCAGTTTATCAGATCTGGTATCTGATTTTATTTGCCATTTTGGATATCATAAGATTTCTCAGTACCTGCGGCATTTCGTTTTGGTAAAATCAAATGAGTAGAGCTTTTGGGAGGGGTTTTGAGCCGTATATTCAAATATAGACTGTTGGCAAATGTAGATATTTGTCAATGTAGACATTTCTAAATGTGTTGTTTGTTAAAAAGGTTTTAGATGAGTAATTTGTCAATGAGTTATTTGTATAATGTTATTATTTTTTACGTGAGTAGTTTATTTCGTGGATTTGAAAAATGAATGTTTTGGTAAAACTTTGATTTTGAAAAACCATGAATATATGAGAGTTTTAGATTCATTATGGACTTGAAACACACTTGTTTATTTCATAGATTTTATGATGGATTTTGTTAATTAAATTTGTATTTATGAAGTGAAATTGATATTTACTATCCTTATTGGTATGAGAAGAGAAAAGAAATTAGAGGGGTAGGTTGGTCATAGTCTCATAGATGATGGGTCCATGATCAATTCCCACCTAAACATGAGAGATTTTCTAGTCCGTATAGCTCATGGACTTGGACTCTTAAAGTCATAGGTCACGTAGATTTGTTGTGCATAAATACATGAAGCAAACAATCGAGTTTGGACAAAATTCATGATAGATCTAAATCCATTACCAAATCCATCAAGCAAACAATACCTACATGTAATATGTATTTTTTCTTATTTGTTAATTGTTATCCTAATCACGCCAACCACGAAAGTCAAATTCATTTTGAAACCGTATAACAATTATTTGGGTATGACTATTACCCTTATATAATAATACTATTTTTGTATTTTTGAATGATACTTTTTTTGAATGATACTTTTTTGTTAACTTACTTCACAAATTATAATGATTACAAAGTATATCATTTTACAACCAAACATAACATAATAGAGAAGGCTAGTATTGGGCATATGAAAAAAAGGAGAGTTAGATTTGGAAACTAGTGACAAAAAAAAAGTCCTACTCATTTTTCTTCATTAGCAAAAGAATCATTTGGTTCCAAATGACCAAGGTTGTCAAACTGGATCAAACTATCAAGTTGGTTTGACAAGGGTCATGAGGTTTAAATGTTGAATCGAGGCTTAACTAGATTAAGCGGGTTTTGAAAACCTTGGTGAGTAGTGAATATTAAGGAGCTATTAACACCTAATCAATTATGCTTCAAAAAACAATCTCAAATTCTCAATAATCAATACAACATAAATTTATATATAAATAATATACATCTGTAAGCACCATACACGGGCCTGTATAAAATCAAACATAACCTTATCCGAACAACTCGAGTTATTGGGACCAACTGGTTTATAACATGGTATCAGAGCATGGTTTGTCCTTGAGGTCACGTGTTCAAGTCCTCACGACCCCCAATATTAATCGTTGTCTTTCAAACATATGGTATGACATGCCTGTGCAAACTTCAAGCCCATGAGTCGGTTTTCGTTTGAGGGGGCGTGTAAGGAAGTGGTTAAGCACCATACACGGGCCTGTATAAAATCAAACATAACCTTCTCTCCCCCAATATTAATCGTTGTCTTTCAAACATATGGTATACAGGTCTGTGCAAACTTCAAGCCCATGAGTCGGTTTTCGTTTGAGGGGGCGTGTAAGGAAGTGGTTAAGCACCATACACGGGCCTGTATAAAATCAAACATAACCTTCTCCCAACAACTCGAGTTATTGAGACCAACTGGTTTATGACAACATCATTACAAAATTCGGTAAAAAATATTTTACCAAATGTTTTTTATATTTTTTACCGAATGTTGTCTTTTCTATATTTTTTACCGAATGTTGTAGCTTTTCTCCCAACAACTGACTAAACTTTTATGTTTTAAAGTTATAAATTAAAAGCATTCCGATGTGGCTATTGCCGTGGCCGATGCCGTGGCCTTCTCCGTCAAAAATTCAATAACAGTAACTGACAGTTAGCCATATCTTGACCTACAATAATAATTATGACTAATAATTTGAATTTTCATAATTGTGGCTATAATTTCCCGCTTCATAATAGTTGTGGCTAATATATTGTATTCACCCAATAAAATATAAAAGCTACAACATTCAGTAAAAAATATAGAAAATAAAATATGACTATAAAAGCTACAATATTGTTTAGTTACAACATTAATGGAATAATTCAATTATTAGAACACATAATGATAATTGAAAATAATTGTAATGATAATTGATTCTAAAATTTCTATTAAAAAATTGGTTTAGTATCAATTATTCAATAAATGCAATTGAACGGAAAAGGTTAACACCGAGTTATCAACTAGGATGAAATCAACGAGTTATCAACCAAGACGATTACAATCAAGGCCCACAATTTATTTAAAGATGCCACTGAGATGAAACTCATCCGCGCCACAAGGCCCATTGATCATAACGTGTCAGGCAGCCCGGTGCTTTGTGGGCTTGTGGCCAAGTTATACCAATACGGAGATAGATCCTTAGCTTCACTGGCAAGTGGCAAGTCAGTTGGCCGCAGATGATTTAATTAGCCAAATTACCAAGGTGAAGAGGAGAAAGATACCTTCCGTATAAGTCTCAAGTGCCGGGAGCCGGAAAGAAAGACCAGCACCGTCACCCTCTTTGATCCCGTTATTCTCTGAGGCAAAACGTCGAACACCTAGCAGCCTTGCGACTTGTTTGAGAATCGTAGCGAAGAATTGCGGAGCAACGATGATTCTACCAGTTATGAAGCTGGGTACTCTTTTGCTCAGGTCGATCAGCAAGCCCATAGCAGGTCGCCTCAAAGGCCAAGCTGAAGCTCACCCCAAGTTCCGCCAGTTCATAATCAACATGGCCCAGGTTTCTCTTCTTTCCTACCTTGCCTTACTCGGCATCGGAAGTCCATTCTTTAGTTCCTCATCTTAGTCAGTGCTCGACTTGCCGGGATCGCAGCGTCAGTGTCGCTCTCTCTCTCTTTTGAATCAATTTTGCAGTAGTGGCATTAGTAGTCTTGTGCTATATGTAGCGGCATTGTGTATAGATAGATAACTAGATGCCGCCTCAGTAGCGTCACTCTTCTAGCATTTGTTGGGGGTGTCTCTGCAGTGTGATTTGATCGGGAATGGCTCTTGTTTTCTCTGGTTGGTACTCTGCAGTTTGAATATAGCTAAAAGTGACTATGAAATCAATTGAACTTCTCCTGAGTCTGGTTTTCTTGGTGGATCAGGCAAATCATCGGTTCACAACCAACATTCAGAGGCGGATATACGGGCATGCTACTGATGTTGCGATACGTCCTCTCAACGAGCAGAAAGCTATCCAAGCCGCAGCTGATCTTCTCGGCGAACTCTTTGTGTTCTCGGTAAATTATAAGCTTACTGCTAACCTACTTTCTCTTGCTGATTTTAGCCTTGGTTGACTGATCCTGGTAGAGTAGTTAGTCTCCTGAAGTTGGTTGCATCAGCAAAACGCTGTAGACCTTTCCTGCGTGATGGACACTTTGTTGCCATTTAGGGTTGATATTAGTTATTAGAGATTTCCGTTGGCAAGGTGTTGATGCCTATGTACTTGTTTTCTTGGTGAGGTATGGTACTAATAGAATAGTTGTGCCCAATCCTGCAATAAACATATTATCAAAACTGGCCTGCATGCTCCTGTAAATATAATCCTTTTCACAGTCAATATGATTGAAATTCCTGGAGAACTTCCTTCATGTGACTGGCAATCAAATACCTTGTCTTAGCAGAAATTAGTCTGTAATGTAGATCAGTTTATGGGAGGGAAACAATATTTTCAATGCTCCGTGTTCTGAATTCAGGTCGCTGGAGCAGCTATTATCTTTGAAGTGCAAAGAAGTGCAAGATCAGAAGCAAGAAAGGAGGAAGCCCAAAAACTCAAGCTAGAGGTATATGATGCCATGAGGATTCAAAACTAAAAGACCTGTTACCGATCTTCAATCTAAATTTGTGGTGTAACGTATTGGAATAAGTCATGACTCAAAATGGAAGCTTTCTTCCTGGATAGAGACATTGGTTTCCTTATTAATTGTTGCTTTACAGTCACAGATCATTCCTGGCCTCTTTGCCAGTGTGACCTTAAATCTCCCTCGTACCTAGTACTAATCCTTGTTTCAACATTCCAGGAGATGAAGCAAAGGGACGAAGATCTAGCCAGGGAAGTTGAGTTTCTCAAACGCAGGCATCAAGAGTTGGAACAACTTGTCAAAGGACAAGGACTTTCTGGTCTTTACAGTTTCAAGAACAGTCAATCCCCAAAAGAACAAGGGAAGCCAGCCAATGATGGTAACTGACCTGAAAGCAACTTCTGCGTCTGTGCTTAGGCTTGATAGTTCCACAGAAGAATCAGAACATCCTGAGGACCGGAGCACGTTATCTTAACATCTCCAGCCATTGGAGTACTTGAAATGCTAACTGTCAAATCTATCAGTAAGTAGAACCCTAGCCATTTTCTTATAGTCTAATGTCAATATATCAGATCGTTATCCTGTGTTGGGAAGTTTCACTGTCCAATTGTCAACCCATGGGGAAATCAATTGTCGAGTTGCCCATTTTGTGACTGCTTCGGCTAGAACTGTTATGCATGTGTATAATCATATTTGGTCTCTTACATCTTAAATGAGTTTAGATTTGATGGTTGATGGTATTAGATTTTTTAAGTTCTTATTTTTTAATAGATTTGTATTTTTTGTTGTTTAACTCGATTTTGAAAAAGAATTCGCACGAAAAGAACGGGTTGATTGTGAGATACAAAAGAAACGAGTTTAATATGATCTATCAAATTATGTCAATATTTAGGGTTAATATTTTCGTATGACCTGAACTTTGATCAAAATAAACATCTTGGCCAATCTTTTCGATCTATAACATCCTGGCTCGAACTATACACCAAAATAAACAATTTGGCCAAACCCAATATTTGACCGTTAACTTGGACGGTCAAACGCGTTGACTAACGGTCAACGCGCCACGTCACTACCACGTCACTGCCAAGTCAGAAGATCTGATAAATATTTAATTTTTTTATTTTTTATTTTTGGTTTAACTAAGGTATTAGATGATTTTTTAATTTATAATAATTTAAAATTAGGGAATGTGTGGAAATTGTGAATTATTTTAAATATTTGATGCTGACTTGGCAGTGACATGGCGCGTTGACTAACGGTCAACGCGTTTGACCGTCCAAGTTAACGGTCAAAAATCGGATCTGGCCAAATTGTTTATTTTGGTGTATAGTTCGGGCCATGATGTTATAGATCGAAAAGATTGGACATGATGTTTATTTTGATCAAAATTCAGGCCATACGAAAATATTAACCCCAATATTTAATATTTCAGAATTTTTTTTATTACCAAATACCAATTATACCACTCTCTAGTGTTTACCATAGTGATATACTATAGTTAATATATGTCTACCTTCATGTATGTCATCATTTTATATTTAGGGTACTATATTATATATTTTCATACAACTATGGAATAATCTTCCGGTGCCACCAAACAATATCATCATGGTATACTATGGTGAAAACTACTTCGATTAACATTTTCTTTTATTATAAAATATATGAAAGTGAATTTGGTTGCAGATCATAATTAATATGATTTAAAAAATTGAACTTAAAGTTAAAATAAATGAAGTGTGACATGTTACATTTTTATTGGAGGAAGTAATTATTTTACACTTGAGGTGGATGTTTTACACTTGGATAAACCTAATCCGGTGGTAGACCGAGTGAGAGGACAGTGAGAAGATATAAAACTGAAATAAAATAAGAAGAGAGCACATAACAAACCTCCTCACTAAAATCAAATTTAATAATTTAAAAACTTCAACAATTTTGAAAAGTTATTTATGAATAAATAAAATATAACTTTGAAAATTAAGATGGAATATTCTTGGCTCACAAATATCCAGTCCACAACTATTCAGAAATCAATCCTTCTCACACATCATATCATCAACTCGTATTCAAAGTCGCATTAGTTTATTCTTATTTCACCTTTAACATGAACGTAAAATGATGAAAATTTTTAGTGCTAATTTCATTAGGAAGTCCAAACTATCCTAAAAGTGCCATTTGTGTTCTAAATTATTCAATATGACAAATCTGTGACGAACTATATGTGTTGCGTGGCATTTGTGTCATAAACTTATCCAATATGACAAATCTGACACAAATCACATAGACGATGACTAAATTTTTGATAAATACTGACAGTCTACGCTGATAAACATTAACGAAAAAATAATTCATGACACAAATGATACTTTTTGAATAGTTTGGACTTTCTAGTGGAATTAGCCCACATTTCTATCATATTCAATTATACAAATAAAACACATTAGACCTTTTCCAAAGTCGACATTGGTAGGACCACTTGTGAATATCATTTCAATAAAAATTAGGTTTAATAGTATTTTATACCTATTTACCATTGTAATTTAATAAATATTTTTCTCCATTATTTTAAGCACAAATGTACCCTTTTTTTATTAAAATGTAACAAATCAATAATTCCATTAGTTTAATTCCATTATTAAAATGTCTGTTAAATGGGTTGAAGATGACCAAATTGTTTATTACATAAATTTCATTTGTCTTTTTATAGAACATGAACAATTTAATTACTTTACTTTTTTGTACTTGGGGTCGTTTGGATGTTGTGATTATTAAATAGATGTATTGGTGTGAATGCATGTATAATATTATGCACATGTATTTACTTTCCCGTTACCTTTTTTTATGAATACTTTTTCTTTTATTTTTTTCGTTGGCCAATTTATTTCTTTTCATGTATTTAATTTTTTTACCCAATTGCATGTATTTATTTTATTTTATCTTTTCATAATTTTTTATGATAGTTTTATACCGAAAATGTTGTGGGACTTGAATTAAATACTTTCCGTAATGACCTCAAACTTGATCGTAATACATGGTTAATATTTATTACGTAAAAGAAGCCTCAATTACGTAAGACTTTCGTGATGACATTTTATAACTGTTACATAAAATACACATTCATTACGTAATGTTTCCGTAATGACAGTTGTTTCTTACGTAATAATTAAATCAGAAGCGTTACGTAAGGCTTCCGTAATGACTTCACACTTTACGTAACGTAAGGTTAATATTCATTACGGAAAAGAAGCCTCAATTACGTAAGACTTCCGTAATGACATTTTACAACTGTTACGTAAAATACACATCCATTACGTAAGTCTTCCGTAATGAGAATTGTTTCTTACGTAACAGTTAAATCAGAAGGGTTACGTAAGGCTTCCGTAATGGCTTCACACTTTACGTAACACAAGGTTAATAATCATTACGGAAAAGAAGCCTCAATTACGTAAGACTTCTGTAATGACATTTTACAACTGCTACGTAAAATACACATCCATTACGTAAGCCTTCCGTAATGACAATTATTTCTTACGTAACAGTTAAATTAGAATCATTACGTAATGACAAGGGTTTGAGGTTGCTGGGGAGAAAAACAAGGTTTACAAACTAAAAAAGGCACTATATGGCTTGAAACAGGCTCCAAGAGCCTGGTATGCTAGAATTGAATCTCATTTTCTGCATACAGGTTTTGAGCGATGTGAATATGAACCTACCCTATTCATTAAGAAGTCCGGAAGTGATTTCTTACTTGTGAGTCTATATGTTGACGACTTGATGTATGTTGGAAGTAGCTCAGCCATGCTTGCAGAGTTTAAGGCATCCATGGAGTCAGAATTTGAAATGATAGATCTTGGGAGAATGAAATATTTTCTGTGGGTGGAAGTTTCATAAACTGAATCAGGCATATTCATCAACCAGAAGAAGTACATCGAGGAGCTGCTCGAGAAGTTCAAGTTGAGTGAATACAATTTTGTGCACAACCTAATGGTTGCAGGTACCAGGCTGTCGAAGGGAGGAGATGGTTTTGCAGTGGATGTCTCTGAATATATGCAGCTTATTGGAAGCTTGCTCTATGTTACAACTACAAGGCCTGACATAATGTATTTTGTATGTTTGCTTAGCAGGTACATGGAAGCTCCTACAAGACATCATTTGCTAGCCGTAAAGAGAATCTTGAGGTACCTAAAAGGCACACTGACTTATGGAATATGGTACAAGAGGATGGAGGAAGAAGACTGTCTAATTGGCTACACAGATAGCGATTCTGCAGGTGATCTAGATGATCGACAGAGTACAAGTGGCTATGTGTTCTTCTTTGCAGGTGGAGCCATCTCGCGGGGTTCCAAGAAACATCCAGTGGTGACACTCTCAACCACTGAAGCTGAATTTGTCGCTGCAAGTTACTGTGCTACACAATGTGTTTGGCTTCAAAGGCTGTTGGTACAGATGGGATGGAAGGGAGGAGTAAAGAAATGAACCAACATATTGTGTGATAACAGTTCTGCCATAAAACTGTCTAAAAATCCAGTGCTTCTTGGGAGAAGCAAGCACATCGATGTCAAATTTCATTTCTTGAGGGAGCTGGTCAGAGATGGGATTATTGAGTTGCAACATTGTGGTGCTACAGATCAAATAGCAGATATCTTAACCAAGCCATTAAAGTTAGATGCATTTCAACTTCTTAGAAGCATACTTGGAGTGATTGATGGAGCAGACCTGGAGTCATGAAGGTCAACAGAATGTGAACTGAAGTCGTGCTGAAGAGGCTTCATTCAGGGGAGGATGTTGAAGCAAAGCTGCAGAAGAGGAAGAGGTTGTTCAAAGTAGCCGTTACTAGCCGTTGAAGTTAATTCCTAGTTTAGCCCCTTAATTCTGTTTTGTGTCTGTTAAGTCTAGTCCGAGTCTTATGTTTGTCAGTTGAGTCTGTTAGCTGGAAATCAGTAGTTGCAATATTGGATAGTTGTTAGGATCCATGATCCTAGTAGATAGGAGAGTTCAGTTGCAAGGGTTTGAGTCTGTGTATTTAAACTCTTGATTCAAGCATGAATAAATCGTCAGTTTGCCTCTAATTGCTTCTACACTGCTGTGGTGGAGCGGCCGCTGATCGGGGAATTTTTCGTCTCCTCTCGGGGAAGAGGAAGAAGAGAGCTTGTGTTGCTGTTGTTGTGCTTGCAACGGTGGTTTAATTTGTTTTTTAGGTGTTTTGTTCTTTTAATTATTCAATTGATTTGGAACATAAATAATTAAAACTAAAATTATGAATAAAGTAGGGGCAATTAGGTCATTTCTCAGCCCATTTAACGGTCACTTAACTGATAATTAGACGGATGGATAAACTCGTTACGTTTTGATATTATAAGGTTATGTTTGTACAAAAATTTAATAGAGGGAAACGTTTGTTAATTTACAATAGTAGAGGGGTAAAAAATGCTATTAACCCTTGAAATTTTAAAGCCTTGTTTAGTATTCATTTTAATTCCTGTTTTTTTATTTCATTTCAGAAAATTCCAGGAAAAAAAGAGCGGATGAATGAGTTACTGTTGAGGTGTATATTGGCAACCTTGTGTGTTAGATAGGGCTGCAAATAAGCCGATTTGAGCGAGTTTTGGTCTAGCTTAGCTCGAGCTTGAAACCAAAATGATTAGCTTGAACTCGGCTCGAATTTGTCGCTAGCTTTCAATTACAAGCTCGAGCTCGGCTCATCAACTGAATAAGCCAGCTCAAGCTCGAAACAAACTCAGCTCGAAAAGGCCTGTTAATGAGCTTAACGAGCCCAATTTTATAATCAAGCTCATTAACGCCACCAATCCAACCACTAAATTGGGTATTAATAACCCAACCTTAGCTTGATAGCAACAAAGTAGCCATCGCTAGACAAGAAAAGGCCTAGAGTAGTGGCCCATTTCATATGCCACACACGAGGGCCTTCTCATGGTTGATTTCAATAGAGGGATGTACTCTTTATATAATTGATTGGAGTAGAAACCTTCTTCCTCTGGCGATGCGGCCCATTTCATTCAATAAGGTGATTTCTATCTATTTGAATTACTTAACATGATAAATTAGAGTGGGATTTATTGTGGATAAAGAATAACCTCAAAGGTTAAGAGAATTCCCACTATCGACATCATTTTATGAGTTAATGGTGTTTGCAGTTAGGGATGGCAATGGGTCGGGTTGGGCGGGTTTTGCCAAACCCAAACTCATGGGTTTATCCGCCAAAAAAACTCGGGGTAAAACCGATTGGGTTTGAAAAACTCAAACCCAACTCACTGGGTATCCGCGGGTTCATGGGTACCCATGGATTTTTGCGGTAAAATTTACAATAACAAGTTTCTTCCAAATAAAAGTCTAAAATCAACTTTCTCATAAAAATTATCCATATAAAAAAAACACCAATCTAGAGCATACAAGCAAACCGCAAATTATCAATACAAATTGTTCAAAATTAAAGATAAACATCTATAAACAATATGATTAATTGACAGCTCCTTCCTCCTTGTCAACTAAGCTTCTTCACTCTCCATTCCATAATATCAACTTCATCACCACTCCATAGTGTTAACTTCATCGTACACAATTAGAAAGAACAAATTAGACATGCCTCCACAAACATAAAGAAGATTAGTTGTTTAAGGAAGATATATTATTTAGATTATTAAATATACCGAAAAAATTAATTATATGAGTGTGAGCGGGTATCCATGGGGCGGGTTTGCCTAAACCCAAACCCAACCCGGTGATGGTGTCCGGCCACCATGTAGATCCTCCCGTCCAAGGATTTTGTCCCCAAATGAAAACGATAACTTTCTTTATTGTTGTATTTGCTTTGGGGTGACTCATGAGCTACAAATCTAGCTAGTTTGCGAGTCGGGCTCAACGAGTCATCAAACCGAGCTAGCTTGCGAGCTTAACAAGCTGAGTTGGACCTAACTCAAACTCGGCTCATTAGTAAACGAGCAAGCTAACGGGCCAGCTCATTAAGTAATGAGCCGAGTATCAAACGAGCTTTTCTCAAACCGAGCACCGAGCTGTTTGTAAACGGCTTGGCTCAACACTGGGTACTCCACTTGGACCAAAAAGGAAAATGGTGGGCTCCGAATTTGAACCTTCATATGGGCCTAAAGTTATAGAGTAGTCTTAACGGGCATATACAAGAAGATACTCTGTGGTGTGGACTCTTACATAAGCCCAATATGTTTCACAAACTGACAAGCAATAGGCAGCAAACGTATTTCCACTTTCGAGTTATTTAAGTTACAAACTGATCCATTAACTTTCCCACTTTTGCAATAAGGTCATCACTATACTGCTGCAACTACACATCACAACAACCTTGATCAACTGCACTACAAGCCTTAGTTCCCTCCAAATTATTCATATTCAACATTCAGAGAGACACCTGGCAGTCACTTTTCCTCCCCAAATACTATAATCTGCTAGTTCACAGACCCACATTTCTTTCTAATCTCACCATTCTTCCCAGTGAGAACCCCGACGCTGGACAGCTTCACCATGGAGGCAGCAAAGTCGCTGTAGAATTGGTACGGGTTCGAGCTGTAGGACCTGACCATTTCTCCTGTGGTTGGGTTCATCAGCAGGGCTTGGTCCGAGTCGAGAAGGCCAGCATTATTGACGATGTTGGTGTAGTACGAGTTGTCGAACCGGGTAGTGGTTGAGTCAAGTGGGGCGAGGTTGGCGTTGGAGGCGTCCTTGTTCGGGCACATCCCTTGCAGGCTTGTGAGTGCAGAGGATTCAAGTGCTGGGTCTGGTTTGCCAGTGTTCTTAAAGTTGAATAACCTCCTCTTGATGAGAAAGCACTGTGCAAACCCTAATGTATGTGCTCCTGCAACCAATAACTAATCCGTCTTAGTAACAAATTGGGATGGGAAAAATGTGAGGTGGCTTTCAGCGCCAGAGTGAAGTGCAAGAAAGAACCTGAGAGGACGACAACATCCTTAACATCAAGTCCCTTTGAGGTAAACTTTGCTGTGATATCATCCAACGACTCGATAGGAGATGGCAACTCCTGAGCAACTGCAGCTTGGTTAGCAGTCAGTCCATCTCTCCGGCCTAATGAAACAGGCCAGTACGGCCCTCCTGTCTGAAATAGACAAAAAGAACAAAGATGGGTTCAGAAAAACTGATAAGAGCATAAATTTAGTATCTCCATGAAAGCGAATGAATCGTTTTTCAGATTTCCCAACACGATTTACCATGACGACAGCTTCTCTTGCTGCTAGAGCCAATATGTCGGTACATGAAACTGTCGATGGACAAGCCTTTTCGACCTCTGCCTTGATGCTGTCAATGACTTCATACCCTCTAGCCGAATTACGATTTGCTGGCGCATTCTTCTCCCCTTTGAAATCAATTGTATCATCAAGGAGTATTGAGCCTTCACATCCCTGCATCGCGCGAAAAGTGCAATCGTATCATGAGCAGTAGAGGTGGCAATTAGGATCCAAATCCATGAATCCAATCCAATCCATCCACCAAATTATCCACTTAATCCAATCCATTTAAATCCAATCCATTTGATCCAAATCCAATTGGATTGGTGGATTCATGGATCAATCCATGGATCCAAATGGCAAATTACGATTTGGTACCTATATTTTTTATATTTTACATTTTGGTACCTAAAATTTATATTTTTATACAAAAAAATCATTGGAAAATTACATTTTGGTACCTAAATTTTTTCATTAGGACATTTTAGTACCTAAACTTTTCAAAATTTACATTTTGGTCCAACCTTTGGATGTCATTTGGATTCATGGATCAATCCACCAATCCATTTGATCCAATCCATGAATCCACCAATCCATTGGATCCAATCCATTTGATCCATGGATCGATCAATCCAATCCACGAATCCACGAATCCGATCCAATTGCCACCTCTAATGAGCAGACACATAAGAGGATTAGCATGGAGTGAAGGAATTTTCTTTTCTACAGCCTACAGCATCATTCTGCTGATATCAGAGTTCTACAGTGAAATCAGAAAGGAAAAATGCTTCTTCGTGCAATTACATTTACTAGGCAGTCATGAAAGTGCAACCGCAGGAGGGAAGCAGCGATCCTTGACTCATTCTTGAAAGCTGACCAGACACTATATCGAATAATCATGGCCAGACGAGGGCATGTTTGGTCATAGTAACTGTAATCTAGGCCGCCTCCGGAAGCAGCAGCGGGAAATGGAGCAACCAGATGAAGGGAAGACAAGGTTAGAAATAATGAAATGGTGACGCACAAGAAGTAGTTTGTATAACCCATTTGGTCTTAAAGAGTATTAGCAGACAGTTAGCCTAACTCTGAATTCTGGTGGGTTAAGGAAACGAAACCAAGAATTTATAGGCCAAAAAGTAGTAGGCCTGAGCATATTTCATTGGCTGGACTTTAGAAAGTGGCACAGCCACTACTAACACTTGAAACCTAATCTCCACTACTTACAAGTATTAGGAAGTGAAGTACCACTGATAAGCTGCTACTGACGTAGAGAGATGGATAAATTTAAGCAACAAAGAAATGAACCAGAGGTTCACTGTTCATAGTCTGCCACTATTACTTCTTTGAGCTTTTAAAAGATTTTTTTCCACACAAGGTGAGGCCACTAACTCACGAATTTTTTAAAAAAATATTCAAGATGCAGCCTTTGACACTATGAAAAAGGATGTCCAGAGTGGGAGTGACTCAAGAATGGATTAACACTTACCTTAAAGAAACTAGAGCATTTCACTGGGTAAAAGTAGACAGAATTCCCAGGAGCCACAGTAGAAGGCCGATTGAATATAAGGGCCGTACCATTTAGCTATTTGTTAAAGTAACAGAAATTATCAGAAAGTTCACTAAAACACACTTTACTCAGTCGAACAATTTCTCATAACCAGGATCTAACTTTAAACTGCAACTCAATGCCACAGTTGTTGTGCAGCAGTTTGCAACTTGAACTTCCAAGTTCACCAACAGAGGATTCTTTAATGTTTTCCAAATTCCACGTGCTGGAAATACTGACTAGGATGCCATGTTGAGAAACCTGGGAAAGTAATGGTTTTTTAAGTTGAGTCAACTTGCAGAAATTAGCCGGCCAGCAAATATACTAGAGTAAAGCTGATACTAAGTTGATCCGCATACTAGCAGTGGAGGTACATTTGTAAATGCGGATTAAGATGTATAAATCCTTTATATATACCTCCACTTGGTTTAGTGTAAAGCTGATAACACAGCGCACAGAAAGCATAGAAAAATAGAAGTAGGAATGAAACGTGGGCTACATCACTGGTTCATTGCACTTGGGTTGAACTTCTTCCGACTTTTAGCAAATAAGAACAAGGAATCGTGGGAAAGTAAATAGTACCTTTTGGCCATCAATGGAGTGAAAGCATTCATAAGTCGTTCATTGGTTGAGGGCTGAGAAGCTCAGAACAAGGTTCCAAACATGGATTCTGCAACAGAGGCGAAAACCAAGATATTAACGTAATGGGTTGTATTGTAACTCAATGTATTAGGCGGTTTGAAGGTCACAAATACCCAGCTTGCTCAAAAGATGATGAAGTTGGTCAGCACCGAGAGCTTTAGTGAAAAGATCATCAACTTGATCCTTAGTGTTGATCTTGGTAGGTTGAATCTCCTGTGATTGCACACGTTCTCGGACAAAATGACAATCCATTTCTACGTGTTTGGTGCGTTCGTGGAAGACAAGGTTTGATGCGATATGGAGAGCGGCTTGATTGTCATAGTATAGTATTGTTGGGGTAGTTTGAGCTACGCCAAGATCAACAAGTAAGCCACGGAGCCATATAAGTTCACTAACCGTCGTGGCCATTGCTCGATATTTAGCTTCAGCGTATGATCTAGCGACAACATTCTGCTTTTTGGTACGCCAGGAGATAGGAGAATCTCCTAAGCGTATAAAGTATCCTGTGGTGGAACGTCGAGTTAATGCACACCCGCCCCAATCTGCATCACAAAAGGCTTGTAAGGTTGGCGAGCCGGTGCTAGGAAAGAAAATCCCCTGGCCGGGAGAATTCTTAAAATAACGGAGGATGCGGTAAGCGACATCAAAGTGTTCTTGTTTGGGTGCTTCCATGAATTGTCTGTGGAAATTTACTGCATATTGGATGTCAGGGCGAGTGATAGTGAGGTAAAGTAGGCGGCCCAGAAGTCGCCGATATTGGCCAACGTCAGTTGAGGAAGGTGTGTTGGCAAGTGCAAGTTTGTGATGTTGCTCCATGGGAAAGGAACTGGGCCGATTGTTGGTGAGTCTGCTATCGGCGAGGATGTCCAATGTATATTTTCGTTGACTTAGAACGATGCCCGTGGAGGAACGAGCAACTTCAATGCCTAAGAAAAACTTCAAGGGGCCAAGATCTTTGATGCTGAATGTGGCATTGAGGTGGCTTTTGACAGTGTTGATGAAGTTGTCATCATTGCCGAAGAGAATGACATCATCAACATAGATGAGAGCAACGACGAAGGACTCCTTCGATTGCATCACAAAGAGTGAGTAGTCAGCTCGTGATTGACGAAAGCCAAGGTTGAGGAGTGTAACTGTGAACTTGGCATGCCAGTTGCGTGATGCTTGTTTGAGACCATAAAGAGACTTTCGAAGCCTACAAACACGTGCGTCTCCAGCCTTGGCAAAGCCTTCAGGAATCTTCATATAAACTTCTTCATGCAAGTCTCCATGGAGAAATGCATTATTGACGTCGAGCTGATGAAGAATCCATCCTCGTAATGCAGCAACTGTAATCAGACATCGAACAGTTACGAGTTTGGCAACTGGAGCAAATGTTTCGTGAAAGTCGATCCCAGGTATCTGAGTAAATCCTCGAGCAACAAGACGAGCTTTGTAACGTTCGATTTCACCCGTGGGTTTGTACTTGATCTTGTAAACCCATTTAGAGTCGATTGCCCTTTTGCCAGGGGGTAATCTTGATCTTGTAAACCCATTTAGAGTTGACTGCCCTTTTGCCAGGGGGTAATGGCACGAGTTCCCATGTGTGGTTGGCTTCAAGGGCATTAATTTCTGCTCGCATCGCGATTATCCACCGAAGATCACGAACAACTTGTTTATAAGACCTAGGTTCATGATGCGCAGAAATGGCTACCAAAAAAGCCATATGTGGTGAGGAAAATCTCTTATACGACACAAATTGAGCGATGGGATATACCCGAGAGGATTTTGATGGAGAGGTAGATGGCTGGATGGTTAGCGAAGGTGGGAGAGATGTGTCATAGTCGCGTAGAGATGTTGGTGCCGTACGTGTCCTTGTGCTGCGCCGGAGTATTGCTTCATTTGGAGGCGGGGAAGCCTCGTGGGAGTCACTAATGTGGGTTGATGATGGTCGAAGATCGAAATAGGGATCTTCCTCTGGAGTTACATCCCAAGGTTGATAGGGAGGAGCTGGTCGTGGAAAGGAGGTAACCTCTTGTGTATCTTTGTAAGGGAATTGAGATTCCACAAATGTGACATCACGTGAAACAATAATCTTCCTGTTGTCTAGATCGTACACTCGATATCCCTTTTGATTGTTAGGATATCCAACAAAGATGCCTCGTCTCCCCCTTTCGCCAAACTTGTCAATGCCTTTACGATTTTCATGTGTGTATGCTAGGCATCCAAAGACACGGAGATGACCATAGGAAGGTATTTTATTGAGTAATACCTCGTATGGCGTCTTGTTGTCAATTGGTCGTGAGGGTAGTCGATTGATTAGATACGCTGCTGTAAGGATGCATTCGCCCCAAAATTGGATGGGAAGATTGGACTGAAACCGGAGCGCTCGAGCTACTTCAAGAATGTGGCGATGCTTTCGTTCAACAACGCCATTTTGTTGAGGTGTGTTGGTGCAGGAGGTTTCTAAGAGAATGCCTTCATGCGCGTAATAAGCTCGCATTTGATTGGATTGGAATTCAAGACCGTTATAAGTGCGGATGCACTTGATAGTTGTCCCAAATTGAGTTTTGATCATGTTGCAGAAAGCAATCAAGAGTTGGCTGACATCAGATTTGTGCTTCATGAGGTAGACCCACAAACCACGACCGTAGTCATCGACAATGGTTAAGAAATAGCGTGCTCCGGAAAATGATGGAGTTCTGTAATCTCCCCAAATATCGCAGTGTATGAGATCAAATACATCAGTTGTTTTGATGCCACTAGAAGGAAAGGGTACTCGAGTTGGCTTGGCCTTAACACAATCATCACAATGGCCAAGCTTATTTAGCGAATTAAACTTCATAATGTTCTGCAAATCATGCATCTTGCCTGCGGATGCGTGTCCCAACCGTTGATGCCAGGTATCCACAGGTACTGATCCTTGTGTCATCATTGCATGTCGTCCTTGTGACACATCTCCCCAGACATACAAACCATCCTGCAGTCTACCCACTCCAATCAGCCTCCTCGTTGGTAATTCCTGTATCGCACAAAAATCCGCCAAAAAGATCACCGCACAGTTGTAATCTTTAGTCAGTCGACTAATGGAAATAAGATTGCATTTGAAGTCGGGAATATTTAGCACTCCCTCCAGGCTTAAGCCATTTTTAAAGGTCACCGTCCCGACTCCTTTGACGGGTATTTGCGCTCCATTAGGAATTTTGACGCAACCTGTAGCTGAAATTTCTTGTTTGGGCTCCAATAACTCAGATTGACAAGTAATATGATCTGCGGATCCTGAAACTAGGGCCCATTCCTCTTTTAAATTACCTGTCATGTTTGCATGGGCCATGGAATCTGTGGGGCATGGTGGGCTGGTGCCTAAAAGATGATACAAGCGGCCCATTTGCTCTTCATTTAAGCCCAAATGATTGTTGGCAGCTTGAAAACCCACCATATTTGCTTGGGCTTGCTGAGGATGGACGACCCGATCTGCTTGTGGGGAATTAATTGGAGGCAACAGCTGGGCTAATCGGCCCAATTCTTCATCACTAAGGCCTCTTTGGCTTATGGTCTCACCCAGCAAACCCTCAATCCAGCGGGCATGAGATGGACGACGCGAAGGGTTGCCGCCGCCATCATGTCGATGGAAGAGATTGCCGCTGCCGCCTACTCCATCTGGTCGCCGATTTCCTGGCCGGCCGTTCTTCCCCCTCCATCCTTCGGGCCAACCGATAATTTCAAAGCACTCTTCTCGGCGGTGCCCTTGTCTCTGGCAAACCGGGAACCTCGGCTTCTCCCGTCCCCGCGCTTCATCTCGGATTTCTCGTCCCGATAAAGCCGCCATCGTCGCCGCGTGGAAAGCGGCTGCCTCTGCCGTGTTCTTGCCGCTGGCGGATATGGCCCGTTGCTGCTCATCTTCCAAGACCAGGCGGAAAGCATCAACGAGGGCAGGGGTCGGCTGGAGACTGAGAATGTGGGTTTTGACAGGAGAGAACTCATCATTCAATCCCATCAAAAAATCGTACAGTTGATCTCTGTCTCTGCTCTCTCTCGCATGCTTAGGATAACCGCAGCTGCAAGTTCATCCCACAAGCCCCTTAGTTTTGTGTAGTATGCGGAGATGCCGAGAGATCCCTGTTGAAGATTGCTTATTGCTCTTCGTATCTCATATGCTCTTGGAGCGCTTCCTCGACCAAATCTTTGTTTCAGATCACTCCAAATTTCTTGAGCTGTAGCTGCATATCGTACGCTATTTCGTACGTCCTTTGTCATGGCTACTTTCAACCATCCTCGCACCATTGCATCATTTCTTAGCCACCGGGACGAGTCCGGAGACTCATCTGCTGGTACAAGAAAATTAAAACCCCAACTACTACCCAGATGGGATACCAGACAACTACTACCCATTCAAGCCTATCAGAGAAGATAACATCTACATAAGATAATGTTTTCTTTATTTCCTTTCTCAACCGACAGCCATATGGCTTTGTATAAATCCCTTACCTTTCATGTACACAGTTTGTATGCTTAATACACATCAATAAACTCTTTTTACATGGTATCATAGCAGAGATCCTCACGACTCTGTATCTAAAACTGAAAGTTCATATCCAGATTTGAGAAGTTCATACTCAAGTTTGAGAAAGCTACCTTGAGGGAGCCATGGAAGGCGCAAACCCAAACCAAGGAGAGCAACCCATTATCACATCTATTGCTGGAAGCGGCATAGACGTAATGTCACCGTACCACTTGCATCAGTCCGATCACCTTGGGCAAGTCCACGTATTGGAAGCTCTTCATGACACCAACTACGGAGAATGGGCAGCACACATGTCTGAGGTCCTATTTTCCAAAAACAAAATGTGCTTTGTTGATGGAACCTTGAAGAAACCAGCTACTACCCAGCTGGGATACCAGACAACCACCTACAGATGAGTCCGGAGACTTATCTTCTCTGGGTAGTAGTTGGGGTTTTAATTTTCTTCTACATGTTGTGTGTCAATTCTCCTGCCTTTCAGTAATCATCTTTTATCCTTCATTTTTTCCCCTTAATAAATGTGTTAAAAGGGTTATTCATAAATTATCTAAAGCCTTCCAAGTATAGAATTTTTGTTTGATTTTTTCGTGCTCTAACATGATTTGTCACTCACACATTCCTCTCTCAACATTCACTTTTTATACTCTTTCACATTTTTATACTGATCTAATTGATGAAGTGTAGAGAGGGTCATTTCTGCCTCTTCATATGCCTACCAAAATAATCCCACAAACAAAAACTCAAATCAGTATCCACAAATGTTCTTCCATCGATCCAAGAGTATCTTCAAATAAACATAAGTAAGAATTTGGTATTATGAAGTCCTTTATTCAAAACATAAGTGTTATACAGTAATAGAGTGAACCAAAATTGCTTCTCAACCAAAGGAAACCCCAACTCTAGCCACCACCCTTTGCATTGTTCGGTCAGAAGAACATACCAACTTTCATACTACTACATAGACCAGTAGCACTATACACCTCATGAAACTTATTTGATTCCAAGAAGGATTTCTCATCTCTAAAACAGGCGAAAAATCATTGGCACCATAAACCCCGGGTCAAAAGAAATAGAAAAAGATCCCTTCTTGCCTCTCAACCTCTACACAAATCCAGGAATAGAAATTTTTTTAAAACAGGAAGGAAACAGAACAAACAAAAATGGAACTATAAGACTACTTGTTGATAGAGACACCTCACAAAAGTTGCATGCTTTGTTTCTTTCTCATCATAGGAAATGTGAATCTCATTCCACCATTGCTGCTGCAGGAGAAGCCACCATCAATGGCTTGCCTCTTCCCATTGTAAACCCCCTGGTTCCATCAGGCATTCTTGGACCCTTTGTAGCGTTATGTTTAACTGACAATGCTGCATCAAATGCACTGCTGCTGCTGCTGCTGCTGCTCATTATAGCCTGTGGAGATGGTGAGAGAAGCCCTCTCCCGCTGCCATGGCTTTGCAGCCTTCCACCTCTTCCCTTCCCTCTCCCTCTTCCACATCCCGCCTTCTTCGAGGATCCCGAGTTTTCGTCCAACTGTATCAGAATTAGACTGAGCTCGAACAGGAGAAGAATACAGGTTTAATTAGGATGATAAGATGACGAGAGATCCTTACATTAGACTCAGAAGTGAGATCTGCAGTGTTTGGGATAGAGATATCATCGAGTGAATCAGAAAATGGTCCCTCTTCATCGTCCAATATGCCTTCGAATTCTGACTTCCTGCTCTTCAGCACCGATTTGGGCTGAAAATTTTTGCACTCAAATGAGGGATGCCAAAATCTTTCCCACGGGGATTAAAGATGCAAGTAGTAGTTTGGGAACTTACGGAGCATCTGAGGAGCAACCTGACTCGCAACCCTTTCCTCCAATTCCTTTCATCATTCAACTTCTCCGCCTGATCAATCACAAAAGCCTGTAAACTTGAGGGCAAGAGGCAGAGAAAGCGCTTATGCGCGAAACGCTCTTATACATGTTAGAACAAGTGGGCTTACCGCTTTCTCAGCTACATCTGGTGTGTCAAACTCCACTAGCGCATGCAGCTTTGATTGATCAAAAGGGAAATGAGAAGATTCGTGAGTGAAAAGCCCTTGCTATGTTTAGAAAAATGAAGATTTGATTGAGGAAATTACATAATACCTTGTTGCTCATGAAGAAATCGCTTTTAGACCGGGACGAGTTAGATTCCTGAGGATGGCAAATCCTGATTGTTTTGACGCTGTCAAGCATGAACACATTGATCATGAGGTGGGGTTCTAATTAGGAGACATACAAAATTCCTGAAAGTTATGGAATTTTAAGATACCTTCCAACAACACCAAATATCTTCTCAAGGTTTTGATGAGAGTGATCCTCAGGCAAATTCTCCACTACCACAGTACGAGACTGCAATTCCTCTCTCTCTTTCTCAGTGAAAGGGATCTTACGTTTAACCCTCCTTGCATCTTCATGCACAACCTTTCCTCCCATTATCCCAAAGCATATAATAAGGATGGGCAGAAAAATAAATTTTAAACAACCAAGAAGACAATCATTGGGAACTCACGAGTTTGGGAGATGATTTGAGTGCCTGAGTGATCAAATGATGGTTACTGGTAAGTGACTTCATTTTCTTTGTGGAAGCAATCACAGAGATTGGCACTGTTGCAGAAGCCAAAAACCACACAATTCAGAACACACCAAGAATATTTTGCATGAATTAGATGATGTGGTAGAACAACGAGTCCAGGCTTACCATAGCCTTCAGGATCTTTGCTCAGGTGCTTTGACATGGATTCATTTGCAAGAAGACTCATATCGCTGAACTGGTATTCCGCCTGATTGAAAACAGGAAACGGTTTTGTCAAAAGGGTTATGCTGCAGCCATTGAAATTCTGCATCAGGGCATTAAGCATGAGAGCTCAAGGGAATTTTTCTCTACCCAATGATAAAAAAAAAATTCAATCGAAACTTTCAACAGAGAAAATTGTATCGAATTGATCCATAAGCGACGAGAAAGAGGAAATGATCTGTAACCTGCTTGACAATTTTTTGGCGGAGCTCTTCGGTGAGAACCTGGGGAGAATCCTTGTTGGAGCAATTAGGTAAGGCGAGATTCGGGTTCGAGATCAAATAAGCCGCGGCGGCAGCTGAAGAAGCGTCCTGGTCACCGAGGAAGAACCAATCGGAGCCACCGGCAGCCCCCAGGTAATGAAAGCAAGGGTAGAAATATCCGGAGATTGGGGACATCTGTTGCGCAGCGGCGGCGGCGGTAGCAGCCGCGATAGCTGCAACGCCGGTGGAATGCGATCTGGGTACGAACTCGGGAGCCTGAGCATTGAATTTGAACGATGCGGCCGCCGCCGAGGCGCTGCTGCAGCCCGTGGCGTCGCTGCCGGCAGAGGGGGTGGTTGGCGGTGGCTTGGCATTTTCCTTCATCATCGCCGTGATCATCATCTCCTTATTGTTGTTGCTGACGGTGCTCTGCAGAGAAGAAGAAGAAGTTTCTTGGTCGATGATCTTCTTCTCCGGATGGGCTTGCGCCATGATTGAAATTCAACGGAGCGATTGTTGATTTTTTTTTTTCTTATTTTTTTTTTTATTGATTAGGGGTTTGGGTTTCAGTTATGGCGAATCTGGGGATCGTTTTGACGATCTTGCTGTCTCTCTCTTTCTTGGCGGGTGTTCCTCCTGAAGAACAGTAACTGTAATGGTGAGTGGGTTATTGAAAATCCACCTTTCCCGCGCAAATAAAGGGCTTCTTTTTCTCATGGAGGAAGAGAGAGAGAATGATATTATTCACAAAAAAACAAAAAGAGAGGATGAAAATGGTTTCATTGACCACAAACCGTTGCTTGAGGGGATTTGACCAGTCCCTCCCATTTTTGTTCAGGGGTTTGGAATTTGCCAATGTTTTTTTTTTCTTACCATTAATGCTCTCCCCTATTTTCTCTCCCTACTCTCATCATTTCCCATTCCCTTTTCTAAAATTAATAGTTGTTTTAAATTATTTTAACTGATGAATTTTGTAAAATTAGGATTTTGATAAATTTATAGATATGTTTGTTTCCAATAAAAAGAAAAAGAAGGAAGGAAATGAGATAGTAATCACAAATAATCGAACCTTCAATTTATCAGGAGAATCTCGAATTCGTGTTGTTTATTCGCTCTAAATCGACTTTTTAGATTGGATTTCCCTTAAATTATCTCTTGGAGAAGCTAGCTAATGATTTAATACAACGTTTTGAGAGTTCATTTGCAATAAATAATTTGCTCACATTCTTAGATAGTTATCATAACCATCAATCATGGTAGTCACATCGACTTCTTGTCGGTCGGTATTTGGTCGACTTCTTGTTTGTCACCAAACCAGCTGGAAAGGAGTCAATATTAAGCCTTGGACAAATTTGGTCAACATCGAGCATATGTTTCGCTTAGAGCAGAAATTGAATTTCACTACTTTCACACATGTCATCCAAAATAAACATCCTTCATGGGGTTTAAACTAAGTACCTCATGTTTACTAGTTTCAATTATACACCAATAGACTATAAAGAACTATGGTATATATATATTAACCTTATACATTATATAACTAATGTTGGGGTGTGCCTACGGTGACATGCATGTCACGGTGACTTGCAATTTCCGGTCGACCTCAGTTAGGATTAAGTCGACCTCATTTAGAATTCGGTCGACCTCATATAGGATCCGGTCGACCTCATTTAGGATTCGGTCGACCTCATATAGGATCAGGTCGACCTAATCTGTTGTTTCAGTGTAAAAACAGTTCATGGTGCCTACTTTAGATATTCATATCATACAATTGGCTAGATGGAAATTGAAGACTAATGACTTGTTTTGAAGCTGGAGTGTCCGTCTACATATTGAAGTGATTGAGAGCTCGATAGGAACTCCAGAAGACTATTTTTGAACCTCATCAAAAGGCTATGCCAAAACTGGGAAACTACCTGGAAATGGCTGTCTAAAAACGTGTTTGTGAAGCTTATTTTGGAGCTTAATTCGAGAAGCATGAATGCGAGTAGAGTCCATGAGCCTCTACCACGTCAAATAAGGTATGTTTTTATACAAATTCAAGGCATTGGATAAAAGATTAGATATTTGTAAGGCATCAAACAAAAGGGTCGAAGTTGCTACGAAGGCTGTTTTTCTGGCAGACTTCGAGGCACAAGCAAGCTGCCAGAAAAACAGCATTCATAGCAACTTCGAGCCTTTTGTTTGAAGCCTTAAAGATATTCAATCTTTCATCCAATGCCTTGCCTTTGTATAAAAAAATACGTAATTTAACGTGATAGAGGTCCCTGGACTTGACTCGCATCCATGCTTCTCAAATTGAGCTCCAAAGTAGGCTTGACAAACACGTTGCTAGACTTAGCCATTTCCAGGCAGTTTCCCAGTTTTGGCATAGCCTTTTGGTCAGGTTCAAAAATGGTCTTCTGGACTTTCTATTGAGCTCCCAAGTACTTTAATGTGTAGAGGGACACTTCAGCTTCAAAACAAGCCTTTAATCTCCAATTTTCATTTAGCCAATTGTAAAATATGAATCTCCAAAGTAGTCACCATGAAACTGTTTTTACACTGAAACAACAGATTAGGTCGACCTGATCCTATATGAGGTCGACCGAAAAGTGCATGTCACCGTGACATGCATGTCACCGTAGCAAAGTCTTATTTTACATAAATCAATGTAAACATTAATAAAATTCAATTTATATACGTTTATTTTTATGTATCTAATTGTTTATTATTAGTTACCAATTTCTAACAATAAATTATTTTGTCTGCATTAACTCTTTTAATTGCTTCTTCGTAACTAATTTATTGGGTATTGATGATTTTCATTTTTTCTTATGTATATTATTAACCGGCCTAATTGGCATAAACACTAATTGTACCACAGTTGGACCATTACACTTGCAAAATCGACTCACCAGCATAAATCGGTTTGACAACCGTGCCATCAACTCAATTATGAGGATAAGGTGAACTAATATGCACAACTTAACATATAATCTTCTCTCCTCAAATTTATTTGTTACATAGAGAATATTTTGTTGTTTTCTAACTATTGTGTCTTAAGATCTAGCTCCTATCTCTTATAGTAGAGTTTTATATTTCCATGTATGAGTCATTTGGTTTGTATTGTTTGGCATAGGTTCTTTCCGTCACTTTCGTGTTTGGACGCAAGCACGATGGTTTTCAATCTCATGAATGGGTAATTATGAAGGACGTCCTCTCCTTTTTTTGCTCTATATTTGTCAGTTTCATGTCTTTTTGCTCTCCAGAACTTTGAGAGAGTTGCCCATTAATTCGGTTCTAAATGAACACATTTCACCCCCCGTTTTACTTAGATGTTTGAGGCACTTTTACTCTATGAGGATCGGTTACGCTAGGTTGTGCTTGTTTTGAGTATATTTCACATCCTAGCAGGTGAAATCAACCCATGGAACGAAAGTTGTACGAAGAGGGGCAAAAAACTGTCAAAAGGGAGCAAACAACGACAGTTCACAGTGGAGGCCAGAAAATCACGGTCACCCAGACCGTGAAGAAGAGGCGCGGGTCATGAAGCGCGAGGACTCCAGGAGGGTTTTGTCTGTCTTGCGGGCATTCAGCAGTTCACGGCCACCAGACCGTGATAACCAGCTCCATACCGTGAAGCACCAAAATGAAACAATGGGCATTTGCAGAACATCACGGTCCATGCCAATAGTTCACGACCGTGAACTGGGATCGTGAATAGTCGTCGATCTGGGTATAAAAGAAGGGTTGAGCTGACACAGAAAAGGGAGAGAACCTAGTGTGAGAAACATCTTCTTCCTCAGATTTCTAGAGTGAGAAAGTGACGAACAAGAGAAGACGAGAAATTAGGGTTTCATCCAAGCTCCAAGATTTGGATTCTCATCCTCAAAATTTGATCTCCACACCAAAGGAAGAAGACAACCCTCTCATGATGGTCTCTTCTATTCTCCTTTGTGTAATCCCACTTCTTAGCATGGAATGGTCCTTTCTTTCACTTTGGTGTTTGTATACCCTAGCTAGAATTATGTGAATGCTTGTACAGATTGAATGATTTGTGTGTGGTTGTGTGTTAATACAAGTTTTGAGGTATTTTATGAAGGTTGTGTTGTGTTTTTGCATTTCCAACTCTTATGCCAATTTGACTTAGGAAGAGGGAAATCCCCTTCTTGCTAAGAGGCTTGTAAAAGCTGGAATTCTTTGGCCAAATTATGTCACCTACTTATGTTGAATTAGGGCAAACCTCTTAATACGTATTAGCACCTTGGATTTGTTGTATTTTGGCCGTTCAAACTACGGTTCAAGGGAGAAGGCTAAGCAACCCTTAGTCGATTGGCCAAGAGAGCTACCTTGGTAGCTTGATTCGAAATCCCTTTGCCTAGTGACCGAGAGAGTGACGTTTGTTCACTTGTTGTGCTTTCCTATGGTTTATCACCACCTTTACCACAAATTTGCATTTGATTCGACAAATCCTGATTGCTAGCTAGGGGGAGGAACACCCGTGTGAAGCCTTCTCAATTAGTGTTCAAAACCATTTATTTTTCCGATTGCTTTCAATTTTAGTTCATAGTTTCAACCAAAACTCGATTGCTAGATAATGTTTCAAACAATTGAAGTAGGGATACATGGACCGACCCGAGTTTTGACTTTGAAAATATACCTGCCCTTCATTGCACCCGGTTAAGATTTATACTTGGGCCTTAATCGAGATTTTTATTGTGATATTCGAGACAAGTCACCCAATACAAACTACTATTTTTGGTCAAATTTGTTAATTTGATTTTTGGGTTTTGTCAAATTTGTTAATTGTTGTCCGGCCATAACTTAGGACTTATTTTGGATAAAAAGATAAATTGCAAGGTTAGTCACTATAATTGTTAAAACGTCCAAGTTTGGTCACTAAAAGTATTTTATTCTATTTGTGGTCACTGGAAGCATTTAAACGTTTCACGTTTGCTCACTTTCTGTCACCCTCCATTAACATCGCTGTTGTTTTGCTGACGTGGCTAACAGAAATGTCAATTCACTCATTTTTAACCGGCCACGTCATAAAACCCGACCCGTCACGTCAGCAAAACTCGCCACATCATATAACCTGGCCATCCGTCTCGACCCACCCAACCCAATAAAATCCAAACTTCAATCCTCCTCCTTCTGTTGCTAAATCCCTGTTCGAATCCTTCCCCAACATCCAAAGAACAACTAACATACCATACCACCCAAACCCCAATTCTCCTCTTTCTCTTTGGTCGTACTTTTCGCCATTCCTTTTCTTCAGTTGCTTGCCCGACCAACTTCTATGACATCCCTTCTCTCGCCATCCTGTCCACCTCTCCATTGCTTCACATCTCTCAATCTCTCTCTCTCTCTCTCTCTCTTCTCCTCATGCTCCTGTTTTGAAGGTCGATGATGTTGTTGCTGATGGAATCCAACTTGTCTCTGGGCTTGGTACCCAGTATAACCCCGCCTCTTCAGCCATCTCTGTCCACCCCTCCCACCATCACCCACTTTCTCGCTCTCGCTCTGGCGGCTGGAGTCCATAAACGATATACTCCAACAAAACGGGGCCGCCGTGGAGCTGAATGATGTGGCGGGTTAAAATGAGTGAATCCGTATTTTTGCTAGCCATGCCAGCAAAACAGTGACAGTGTTAACGGAGGCCGACGAAGAGTGATCATAAGTGAAACATTTAACCACCTCCAATGACCACGAATGGAATAAAATACTTTTA